ATTTTACTTGGGGTGGATAGGAGAGTGATTCCTCGCCAGTTCTTGCAAGCACTGAGGTCTCCCTTCTTCGGCAGTTTGACAAGGTAACCCTTCTTCCAATCGTCAGGTACCTTCTCTTCCCTCCACACCTTCTGCAATAGTGGTGTGAGCATGTCCGCTGTTGTCTCTGCATCTGTTCTCAGTGCTTCTGGCGGTATTCCATCTGGTCCTGCTGCTTTCCCGCATTTCAGTAGCTTTATGGCGTTCAGGACTTCCATTTTCGTTGGGGGATTTATGTTCACTTGTAATTCAGCGGCTGCAGGTGGTATTTCTGGACGAAGTGCAGGTGGTGGTCGATTCAAGAGCTTCTTGAAGTGGTCGGCCCATCGTTTCCTCTGTTTCTCTTCTTTTGTAATTAAATTTCCTTCTTCATCTTTTATTGGTTTCATCTGTGTTGGTCTCTTCCCTGATAGCAACCTGGTTATTTGATACAATGTCGTCAGGTCTCTCTTACCTGCAGCCTGTTCTGCTTCACTTGCCAGTGTGTCGTAGAAGTGTCGTTTGTCTTTGCGTGCACTCTTCTTCACTTCTTTATCCAGTGTTTTATACATTGTGCTCAGTTCCTCTTGTCGTTGAGCATCCTTGCACTGGTTTATCTTCTGCTTCACCATCCTCCTCTCCTCTATCAGCTTCCAGGTATCCGTCGAGATCCATTCCTTGTCTTCTTTCTTCTTCCTTCCTAATACTGTTGTGCAGGTTTCTTTCCACATAGCTTTCAAAGACTTCCAGTGTTCTTCTACACAGGTTTCTTCAGGGATGTCCCTCGACGTCTCCCATTTTGTCTTGATGGCTGCTTTGAAGATCTCCTTTGTAGTTTCATCCTTCAGTTTCCGAGTGTTGTACTTGAATTGAGGTCTATCACCAGCTTCCTTGAAGGCTTTTAACTTGATTTCGAAGGTTCCTTGCACTAGATAGTGGTCTGAACCTACATCTGCTCCTCTTCTTGACCTTGTGTTAAGTAGACTGCGTCTCCATTTTCTTGAGATTGAGATAAAGTCGATTTGGTTTTTAGTGTGTCCATCTGGTGAAATCCATGTCGCTTTGTGGATATCCTTGTGCCTGAACACACTGCCTCCAATCACCAAATCGTTGAATGCACAGAATTCTGCAAACAATTCTCCATTCTCATTCATTTCACCTAGCGCCTCTCGACCCATGGTTAGTTCTCTTCCCGTGTTGTCCCCTCCCAGTTTGGCATTCATGTCGCCCATTAGAATTTTGATATCGCCAACTGACGTCTTGTCCAGTGTTGACTGAAGTTGTCTGTAGAATTCCTCCTTTTTCTCTTGCTCTGCATTATTTGTAGGTGCATAACATTGTATGATTGTGACCTTTCTTCCTTTTGAGTTGAATCTTGCTGTCATGATCCTGGAGGAGATTGGTTCCCACTGCATGAGAGCCTTCGATGCTCTTGAGGACATCATGATAGCCACTCCCTCAGTGTGCTCGTGGTTGGCGTCTGGGTGACCGGAGTAGATTATTGATTCTCCCGTTGACAGTTTGGAGAGTCCACTCCCATTCCATCTGCTTTCGCAAATCCCAAGCACTTCGATGTTATACCTTCTCATCTCCTTTGCAATCTGGGCTGCCTTACTGGGTTCAAACATCGTGCGGACATTCCATGTCCCCACGTTTACTTTCGCTTTCATCGAGAGAAGACACATCGGCCAATTGGCTTCCCGAAGGCTTTCACCAACTGGCGTCATTTCGCCTCTCCGATTCCAGCGGGGAATAAGTTTGTTTTCATTTTTTATATTTTGTTTGTGCTTTGAAGTTTCTTTAGCGGTTAGATTTGTTTTACGGGGTAGGGTTGCTAGCCCTATGCCCAACCTTCCCTCTTTACCCGGGCTTAGGACCGGCTAGTAACTAGTAAACTAGTTAACCAGGCGAGGTTACTTGACAATGTAAGCACTAAGATTGCTTTCAGCGAGAAACTGACTAGAAAGTTATTAGAACGGAAAAATATCACCGAATAAGAAGCCTGCTGCCATCTCCAGTTTGCTGTAAAAACTGCACCGAAGACCGTAGCCAACTTTAAAAGAAAAAGGGCCTGTGGACCTCAGCAGCTCCTTTGAAACTAATGGATACATACCAACGAGGCCCTCCAGGCTTCGACAATTATGAGCAGAGGGAACAACTCAAAAATAGATTGACAGAAAGTCTACTCGATGACCACAAACAATGAAGGACAGAGAAGCCTAAAGAGATTGAAAAGCAGCGGTGACAGATAACAGTGGACAGTTATTTAGACTTATCGAGGGAACTGGACCAAAAAGGTCACTTTCTAACACCTGTGCAAGTCGAGAAAGCTGTGGGCAACCTGAAACAAGGGAAGTCAGAAGCGCCAGGTGGACTGGTACTAGAGGTATTTAAGGACGACGGTAGAGAAGTATGAATTAAATTAATTGAAGTGTTAACTTCTGCACGGGAGTCAGATATAATCCTCTCTAACTGGTCTTAACCACCGATCTCCCAAATCTTCAAGAAAGGCAAGAAGTCCTCTCGTGAAAACCATAGGGGAATCAACCTGATGGATATCATGTCTATGATTCTAGGTTCTATTATAATTACACATTTGAGTGAATCTTGGGAACAACAAACTCAGGCAGGTTTCAGACCTGTTCGTTGGTCAGTTGACTAGAAATGCTCAATGCGGGCTGTATATCTCGACCTGAAGGTGGTATTGGACTCTATCGATCTACAGGTTTTATGACACTGTTTCTAGCCGAAAGGAGTATCGAATAAGAACATAACCCTGTCGGAGAATGCGTACCCGGAAACCCTTGGGTGTGTTTGAGCCAATGGGGATGTCAGGTGAATAATGTACATGGAGTGGTGTACATCAAGGATATCCACTCTCTCCATTCTTGTTCAATTCTATCATAGAAGTACTTATGGAAATCTTCCTACCGTCGTCTGACTTCACAGGGATTGATCTAACCGCGGGAGAATCCTTGGCAGATCTAGAGTATAAAAATAACATAGTCCTGTTAGATAGAGATGTTGACAAGAGGCAGAGTCTTCTGGACACCTTGAGTGGCAGTTTGATAATTTATGTGGTGCGTTTCTCACCACCCAAATGCAAGTCCTTGCCACAGGATTGGAGTCTTGTCTAACAGTGGGAAGTGAAATGGTCGATTGCGTTGAACACTTCACTTATCTGGGAGGTTAGGTCACACCTGGTGGGTCACTGACCGACAAAGTCTCTGCTCAGATACAAAAGACTGACTTGGCTTTTGCTAATTTGCGCCATTTGTGTCGCTGTCGTGATGTATGATTGTGTATTGGAATCGAGTGTGCTGCAGTTCGCTGTCTTCTACCAAATAGATGTAAAACATGGTCATTAAGGGTAGGGGATAAAAGAAGCCTTCCAATGTTCAACCACTGTTGCTTCATGGAATAGTCTGTATTTAGTGGTGTTACCGTATGAGTAACGTAGAAGTCAGGTGTAGAATTTTAGGGAGGGGAGGAAAGTCAGACGATTGGCGTCCACAACCTCATCGACTGAGGTTGTTGGGACATGTATTGCCCATACTTAGTCGCCGTTTACCTCGTCGTACAATGTTAGCTGAAGTAGGTTCAGACTGGAAAAGGGTTAGAGATGACTTGACCGAAACGTGATATCAGTGCATGAAGTCCTTGACTATTGGTTTGAGCCATGTAAGGAAACTTTCTGGTTTGGGTCTGGAAGACAGCAGAAACGAGTGGTTAGAGACTACGTCGCATGGATCAGAACCGATGTGGGGGGGGGGGGCAGATTCATCCATCCATTATCTTCATCTTAATCGTCACACTAAATCCAGTATTTCCCTATCCTTCCCTGTTATGTAATCACAACTTTTTACCACTTTTAACTGTTTCATTTCCTTGTCTTTGGAGACTTGGTAATACGGCTGAGGGTAGATCACATCGTTATACATGCATCCACACAATGTCTTCATAGAAATTCTTATATACTATTTTGTTAGTTACTCGGAGTCCTCTTCGTTGCTTCTTGTGACTTTCTACAACTTTTTATCTTATAATTCCCATTTCGTCGTTTCTCGTGTTGTTACACTGTATCTTGTAATGCTGATGTGAGGTATGGCAACTTCAACCAATACGTAGTGTTACCACATCCACTGTTGGTACCGACTGTCTGCTGTGTGAATATAAGACTAATTATGTGATTAGTCACAGCTAATAGGAAGTTGCTTGCCTAGTTTTATATTCAGGAGTATCTCTAATCCTTAGACAATTGTGAAGCCTGTAAGCTATCTCTGAATATCTTATACTTAACAAAGGCCGTCTCAGCGTTGTTTCACCAAGTTTGATAGTCATTCTTTTGAATGACAAAATTCAACATACATATATATTGAAATCTAGTGAACAATTCGAAAGTCGACTTTTATTTAACACCATGAAAACAATGGAATTTTGTGAATGAGTGCATATTTTATCATCCTACAACATGAGGAAAAGTAGGCTTTCTTACTGAAATCCTCAAACATTGTAATTCATAATAGAAACGTGCATATCACAGAAAATATTTTGATTTTAAAATGCTGGAAAAGATTTGTAGCTCAGAATGAGGATGAAGGTTGCTTGGTATTCTATCAAGCTTTGATATTTTGTCGTGAGATCACGAAACAACCATCATCCTCATCCTGAGCTACAAATCTTTTCCAGCATTTTAAAATCCTTTGAGCGCGATGCTCTTCTCTATGCTCAAAAGTAGCAAAACTTCATCGGTTGGAGAGCTTCTACTTGACAGTAGCTTTTCTTAAGTGACTCAGAGAATACCAAATAACCATCATATCTTGGTTCCCAATTCATATGGACTCCACAACTTCAAACTAGATCTATCAACATACAGGAAGATCTAACCGCTTTACTCATAGCCCCTCTTTCCGTCGTCTTATTACAAACACTATAAGATTTGCACATCTTTCAATGATAATTTTTAAAAAAAACACAAAAAAGGACAGAAGAATTTATTTTTGAAAATCTCATGCAATTTAATACATTTCTACTAGTACTCAATATCACAGTAGACAATTCACTTTGTAACTGTATATAATCCCAACACCTCCCCAACACCACCACAACCAGTCGCCTTCTAAAATAAAGATATATAATCAAAACTCTGATTGATAATCATAAGTATATCTTAAATTTAAGTAAGTTAACAAAACAAAATATAAGTAGTATTATTCAAAATAAGTTTCATTTATATGTATGTTCTTGTGTGTGTATGTGTGTGTATGTGTATGTGTGTGTCATACACTTCCCTAAAAATGGAATAAAATTTTACTTTGCATTCTGGAAAAATGATCATTTTGGCTGTCAATAATAATAATCATGACAATTATAAATGTAATCTTAGTAAGAATGATATCTACTTTAAAATTTTACTTTTTTTTTCAAATTATTGACATTACAAAAAGTAGTTAATGTCATGAAAGGAAACAAAATCAGGTTTTTGCGGTTATTGAATATTAGGTGTGGGTCACATTTCACTTCATCTTCTCTGAACCGCCGACTCCCCCTCTCTCTGTCTGGATAATATACAAATAGAAACAACCTTATCTAATGAAATAGGCAAACTATATATACGAAGAAAGTACCTTTGAAGATGTAGTGGAAAGTGAATTTTAAATGTTCACCATGGTTGCCCTTGTTACGTCAGCGACAAATGACTGATTAAGATAAATAATTCACATAAACCAAATATGCTACTATTTTAATGATTATTAGTAGTAGCAGTGTTAATGACAGGTGTACCATTCCGCACTACCTTTTCCAATACAAACCAATAGAAGGAATAGTGATAATAACCACACAGTAGTAAGAAAAATGTGACTTTTTTAACTCGTCAGTCTAAAAATAGTGCAGCATTATGTTGATAATAACCGGTTTGCATACAAGTAACTAATTATACGTTACGATGTAAATGGATTTAAATTTGGCGGTGCTACAACACCCATATTCAAATTATTTTCATAGAATATATAATCTGTACGATTCATGCATAAATTTGACTGATAACAATTGAAGTGATCATCTGATATGTAAAAGTTGGTCCTCATATTTTCAGGAATGTTGTTAACAGCACAGTAATTGGGAGATCCACCAAATAAACGTGGACACTCTTTCGGATAGTGAACAAGTTGACCTTCATTGAAATCATATTTTTGCTGTGGTTGTTGCTGCTGTTTACTGACATTTACATCTTCATGATGGTGATGATGATCAGAAACTTTGACTTTTCGGCGTAAAATATCGCGTACACTTGGTCGTCTTGAAACGGCATAAGGATAAATTTCGTCCAAACTGATATTACTACTCGTCTCACTTTTGTTATTCTGCTCCAAATACTGTTGTGGACAACAGCTTTGTGAGTTGTTTGCCGTTTGAGATTTAGTTGCATGGATGCATGGCACAATTTTATGATCTGTAATCTAAAAAGCAAAAGAAAAGAAACCTCTTCTATCAATCGAAGGTAGTTTTAAAAATAGCAGTCGTTTTCATAAATATATATATCTACGTTTATGCTACTTGTAAGTAGCACGAATGTATCAAGAAAATATTGCTTCTCCTTAATGACATTGGTTGAAAGTGATTTTATGATCAATGTAGGCACATAAACCAGAGTATTTCAAGTGAATCGTTAAGATAAACTCTCCAATATCACACCATTTTCATACATTTATCATAAATATTTACTCGGAGTTAATTAATTCTCTATTAAATGTTTATAAATCAATCTTTTTATTTTCACATTATGAACTTAACATGAGATAAACCAGTTTACACGACTAATCAGATTAGTAACAGTTAAGAAAAAGACAACTTTAGAATGGTTCTTGATTGTACAGAAGGTAGGCTAACAATCTTTAACTTAACACTAAAATTGACTCCAAAACATGAAATCACCAGGAATATTTCGTTTTTCAGTACAGAGATCTTTTTCATATTTTACTACCTATAGTTTGCATCAAAATCATTCAACATTCGGTGTTAACTATACAAATAGTCGACTTGTTTAATTCGTCTATGTAGTTCAATGTTTCATCAGATACGTGTCTATTTAAACAAGAATTCATACATTTATAGCTTTATTGATCAAAGAGGACTCACTTATACGCTTTGGGGAAACAGTAAGTATAACATAGTCACATAACCTAGGAGAATATATAAATTCAAGTATTTCTCCTTCTTCACTTGTTACAGTTTACAGTAAAGTAGATGTATTGATCATTTGTAGGTCACTCACTGGCAGTCATTCATCATACAAATGTCAGTGATTTTTATTCTAAGCAGTATCAGCTGTAGTCTGATATTAGACACAAGTGACGTTTTTCCCTAAAATGCGGGTTCATAGTTAATGTCAATAGGCATTTACCTACAAGTTCTTCCCATTATCTGGCATCATCATTATTATGAGATAAATCAGAGATTTTTTAAATTAATTGTTTAGTTTTACATTTTGATTAGGACTGACAGATCAATACTGACACCTAGAATATGGCGTTGATAACCACTTGGATATGAGTTTCGTCTGTGTTTGTTGTTATATTTGCAAAAATAGACTTTTTGGATATTTCAGGAAAGGTGATTCCTAAAATCATGTATAAGCTAACAACAATTCTATTTATCCGCCTGAATTATATCAGTTTGGTCGCTGTTAACTTTTAGGAGGCATATCACGACATCATATTACAAATGTCACTTCTCACTAAGTCATACTGGGACTATTTCCACAGGCACCTAGTAGCAACTAATACCCGTTGGTGATGATGGAGTACGCTATACGACGGGTAGATACTGCCGCAATTCCTGACCAATGCGCGAAGGCAGTGACCGCAGCGGTGACGCTGCATATTGTCGCAGATCACGATGCTCCAAGGTCCTTGTTTTTGAGAGTGAGGAATTCAAATCCTTTTTGGAGCAGCCCGATATCAAGAGAATGATAAGGACACCGTACCAACCATAGACTGATGGTATGACAGAACGGGATAACCGCACACTCAAGGAATGGCTGGCTTCGAAAGGAGAGAATTGCAGACAGAACTGCTATTAATATTATTTTGCGCATCGTGCCTCTGTAAAAAGAACAACCAAGAAGTTCTATGGCAGGAAACCACGGCTCCCAATGCACAGCAAGACCTGGCCGCAGCGACAGCCATACAGCATGACAAGATTGAAGAATGAACGGAAACAGGCATAAGAAATGTGGAACAAAAATAGAAAGGTGATGCTGAAAATCCGAGAAGAGAGAAGGAAGTAAATGGAAACCGTTTGAGGTCACAGTTTAAGTGATATGTAAGAAAACGGCAAACAATGAAATGCAGGAGGAAGATTGTTATGAAAATTTGTACATTATTAATGAAATATTGTAACCTTTCCATTGAAATATCTATTTGCACAGTATGCTTAATTTCATCTTCTTCTTTTATTTCGTTTTGTTCTTGATACGCCCACGTTATCCCTTGCTATTATCCGTGCAGAATATTTACTCATCGCTCTTAATTGCCTATGACTTCTGTCGACCTCTGGATATATACTACTTATATACATCCTTCTCAATAGCATCCACTACAATACGACTATCATTTACAAGGTGTTGACAGAAGTTAATCGAGCGAGTTCTCACTGTTTTCATAGAAATAAGGAACACATTAATGTGCAGCATTGTATTTACTATCAGATTTAACAAGTGAATCATCAATCGAAACAACCATTTGATCTAGATTCTGCTTTGGAAGCACTGGGCAGCAAAGTGTAAATCCAGTTTTGAGAAAACTAACTTTGCTTCACAAGTTTAAACTGGTATCACTCCGTATTTAAGTCGAAGACTTAAACCTTGTTATTCTTGCCTCGATGGAGCAAATAACCACTTATGTTAATCAATAGCTTTGTGAGTTTTTTCGTACTGATGGCAACTTCTTGCACTGACGTATCATCATAAACAGTAGTATCACCTACAGTGAACTTTTTAAAAGTATACAGCAGTTAGCAATAAGTAAATGCAATAGAGCCCAGAACAGGTAGATTCGTTAAGTCTTAATAATTTGTAAGGAATTGAACGATTTCAAAATATTTCCTCTTACAGACTGATATTTGTAAATGCAACATCAGAAAATTCGGAGCAATGGGCGTTGTTGTTGTTGTCAACTGGAAAACTTCATCTGCAAGTGACTTTGAAATGGATTTATCAAAGTTTTAGGGTGGAATCATGAAACTTGCAGATGAATTCTCACGTTAGATATTAAAAAGTGGTTATACCATATAACAGATTGATTAGAGTTGGTTATAGGGCAGTATTTCCATGCTGAGATTTAACATTCCTCTCTTTGACGTTCCATGGGGTTATGGGCGCACACCAATGAGTAGTCCCAAAATAGGATGCAACAAGTGTCCAGCACTTTTGTTTATAGATGATTCCTTCCTTAGTTAAGGATTTTTAAAAAAAGCTTCATAAGTACATTTAATCGCCTTTGACTATCTCAAACTAAAACAGTTAGAGGTAACCTGTTTATCCTAATGAGATTTCATTATAGAAGATTCATTTTCGTTACATAAAGTAGATGTTACTGGAGACATGCTACACAATTCATTCTACATGAGTGCGTAAAAAAAGTAACGCTACAGAATATCCATCTGGAAGTATTCATTAGCGTTATCGTTCTTAGGCAATTGGAACGAAAGTCTTGATCCCAGTATCCTGTTTAGAAACAAACATCAGCATCCTGTAAGTTGTATCAGTATCCTCAAGAAAATGTAAAAGTTTATCATTAAATACCTTTTTTGTTGATGTCACTAATCAACAATTCTACCAGTAACAAGTCATCCTTATTCTCTTCTATCAATGAACCAGCCTTTACTGAAGACTAACAGATCATTTCGACAACCTCTCCAGCGACTCACGCGTAGACTTGAATAAACTTCCTAACTAATCCCTAATTGTTACAGTGTTGTTCTAATGAATCGCATGATTTCAGCTAGCCAGTTTTTTTTCCACATTTTAACAATTAAAATTCAACTGTTATCCGAAATAGAGACACAAATTCACAACTCGACATTCCCTTTTATCGGTTTTATCAAAATTTCTACACCAAGAGTAATTCTAACTCATAAAATCTTTCTCAATTTTTTGAAGTATTTATGTGTCTAGACAGAAAAAGTCTTAGGGATTTTATCGGTCTTGGTGAGGTGAAAATCACTTCGCATAGAAAAAGAGAAAAGAAGGAGACATTTATGAATAATCATGAATTTGGTTTACTGCATTTTCTAACACTAAAATCTTACTCTGTCTGTTTCAAACTTCTTTATAGGTCATTTCACGCAGAATGCCTCGGCTAAACATTATTTCCTAGCAGGCTTGTAATCTATCTGTTAATCATTATTGCAAAAGTTAAGCATCGAATCCGTGTTAGCTGATAATGCAATTCTAAGATCATTAAGCCGAATGCTTACATTTTGTAAGTTTGATTGACTTTCACAAGTATGTTACTGCTGAAACCAGACACTTGTAGATGTGAACGAAATAAAATGTTATTCAATAGACTACTGAATTGTAAAAATTATCTACTGAATTTCAAAGTTAGTCTTC